ACTTCCTGAAATCGAAAACTGAAACAAATTTAAAAGCTGAAAGATCAAAATCAAAAGAATGATTTGGATCGCGAATAAGCACTTTCACAAAACCTATTCTCTGCAATAATTTTTGCTGGCCATTTCTTTTTGAAAAGCAAGAAAGAAAGCAGTGTTTATTCTATAATTTTGTATATAAACTTTAATATAAAAAATTTAGTGTGATACCTTCTGAAATATAGAAATAAAAACAAACCTAATTGTTGAAAGTTCAAAAATCAAAAGAATGCTTTGGATCGCCATCCAAAAGTTCACCTTAAGTGGGTGCACTTGTTAGAGCAGCAATAGAGACAAAATGGCATGTTTTCTTCTGTTAGTATCGAAAAATCAAAAGTAGTCCAATCTCTAGTCCAATCCCTCGAGTGCCCTAAGTGGTAGACTTGTTTATCGATTTGGCCGCTACAAACGGCATGCCAATGTTTGAACGTTCAGGATCTCTGTTTCTAGAACAGTTTTCAACTTATTTCTCTAGTGAGTTTTCATTCATTATAATGATTGCGGTACTCAGCCACAATATTTACGGGTAGCTAGTAGTAGTAGTGCATAGCTCAGGGATTTTTCAGTTTGTTATTTATTTTAAAAGTTATTTCTGCTGTAATTTTTCATTTAGGGGAGATGTCAGACAAGCCGGAGCCGGAAAGTGCCCTCAATCCTCGAAGAGTAAAGAAAATGATCTTAAACATTTAATTTTCAAATTCAGGCATCTCATCCAACTATTCTTCCAAAAAGGATTTTTGTCAGAGTTGCCAGAGGAGGTTTGGGCTTTATTAAAGCTTGTGGGATTGATTGTTTATTTTTAGGTTGCTTATCTTATCATTGCCTATTTGACACCGTGCGATTTGATGGCTTGTGCTGGCGTTTCGCGGACGTGGCAGCGACATTCGTGAAGATGATCGGACATGGCAACAGAAATGTTGGGGAGAAACGGATATGTGAAATTTCCATGCGCCAAGGTTTGTTACAGTTTTGAATAGATGATACTCTAACACTTAAAAATACACATCTGATAGATATATATTAAACTAGATCTTACACTTCTAAGGTATAGGGTGATACTGTTATTAATTCCAAAGCAAACAAAGATGGAAAGCGAAAGAAAACATATGATAATGTTTTTTTCGAAGAACTAGTGAACTGGCCGGTGAACTGGGTCATATTTAAGAAAACGATTAGTAAAGGACTCGTCACAAGCTTGTCACTAACTTGTTTTTCTTCAGTTTTCGTTTTCTCGGAGGTTGGGCGACAAATCGAGCAAATGAAAAGCGAGAATCACAACCTTCTAATCACAATCTTTCATCTAACTTGTTTTTGTTCAGTTTCCGTTTTCTCGGAGGCTGGGCGACGAGTCGAGCAATTAAACGAGCGCTGGAATCACAATCTCCTCACATATGAAGCCCCCCCTTCAAGAAGCACATCAGAATCGACGAGAACGCGAGATCGCATATGGACAGTTAGTGACGCAACTTGTTGCTGAATTAAATTTTTTCTATATGTTATGAGCGATCGTCATCGGGTAAGTCCTTGTACTTGCGGAAGAAGCTGAATCATTTCCAATTGGCGCTCCCGAGCGATTCAATCAAGCACTGTTCTAAGGGTTTGGACAAATGTTTTGGCTATAAAAATTGTTTTAGGGTCTATGATGGACATCTATCATCTACAAGTTCACTCTGGTCGTATTCTTGCTGGTTGATGATCGTGATAATACAAGTTGCGGGTCTGGAATGTTGGATGATGCTCAAGTTTGTTTCGTTTTTCGATTATTATACATCCTCAATTTAGCCGGCTTTCACTCTAACTGGCCATATGGGTCTATTCTAGGGGGCGTTTCAAGTGAGCGATGATGGCAAATACATTGTCAGGTTAGTTTTCAGGCTCTAGCTAGTGTAATTTAGAAAGAGTTGCCGATGAGGCTAACAATTTTCTAAACAAAAATACTTGTGACAACAAAGTCTATTCCAATATTTAAGTGGCTCCTCTGATCAAACCGTGCGCGTTTGGTGTGGTCAAACCGGTGCACAGCTTCATGTTCTGCACGGACATACGAGGATTGTTTACTGCATAAGTCTACATGGCACAACGTGAGTTATCTAAATTTTCTGCTTCAGCTAAAATCATAATGTTTCAGTCTTGTTTCTGGATCGACCGATAAAACGCTCCGCGTCTGGGACATTCTCGAGGGGAAATGCCTTCACATTTTGACTGGCCACTTGCGGGAGGTGTGTGTATCAAAGTTATAGCCTAAGCAAAGTTAAATTTCAGGTTTGCTGTGTGCAATTTGATGGAAAACGGGTTGTATTTTGTGGTCATGCTTTTACTGTAAAGGTTTGTAATTCTGTTTTGTTCAATTTTATAAGATTCTATAAGGTTTGGAATGTGCAGACGGGGGAGTGTTTGCACACGCTGACGGGTCACAGGGGATCGAGTCTATTCACTTTTGGTGAGTTCAATTGCCAATTTTATGCAGTTTTGTCACTTTTAAGTGAGTTGAATTATCAATTTTTGGCTTTAATCAGGATTCTGCTTTAGTTTGGCCAGAGCGTGATCTTGTCGTGTCGGGTAGTCGTGACGGAACGATTCGCGTCTGGGATGTTCGAAGAGGAATTGTGTTTTACTTCGCTATTTTGTTGCAATCTCCTCTATATTTGTTTCTTTCAGCATGCATCGCGATTCTTGTCACACATCAAGATTCCTGCTCTGACTTCCAGCTTCACGGAAATATTTTGGTCTCTTGCTATACCGACTTAGACGTTGGGGTAAGTTTAATCACTCGTATGACAACTACTTCCTTTTCTTTGATTTGGGACTCCGTGACGGTGGTTCGTTCATTCATCGCCTGCAAGACGCAAATGGTCACACGTCGTACATCACTTCATTCCATGTGCTCGACTCGGGACGTTTGGTGACAGGTTCTCGTGATGGCTCGATCAAGCTGTGGGATGTGGATAAAGGTATGTTATTCTAAATTACCTAGTAATGTAGGCTAGTAAGATAAGCAAATATTTTCCAGACTGCAAGTTTTCTTCTAAAGTAGAATTTATTAACTACATAATTTGACTCGTTAACTATTCAAGTTTAAAGCGATGTTTAGGGTTAGTATGCTGTTGTTAGTTTTTTATCAACTATACAACTTTTTTATCATTTTGTGATTTTTAGGTATCTTTGTTCGCGACCTCGTTCGTCTTCAGGCAGACATTTGGATTTGGAGACTCTTCGCGACCGAAACATTTCTCCTATGCGCAGTTAAATCGCTAAACGGACACGAGAGGAGAAACTTGGATCTTGATCGATTTTGACGCATCGGTATCCCCTAGGTGGATATTCGGATTGCTCTTTGGTCTGATTGTGATTTTCTTAAGGATTTTTCCGTTTTCTCAATCCTTCTGTGTTTTGATGGCTCGCTCGATTGGCGTTTGTGATTTCCTTTCAAATATTTCCCACATTTACACACTTTCTTGTATGCAAGGTTCACATTTTGTTTAGATTTATTTTGCCATTGACCTGCTTTTCTTTGCTAGAAATTGTTGTGATAACGACAATCTTTTCCATTTTTCTGTCAAGAGTTCCCTTGTGTGATTGTTTCCATGGTGTTCCTATTGCTTTCAGTTGTGTATCTCGTTTTCGTTACACAATTTACACATGCAAGATAAATGGCTTAAACTGGCTCACAAATAAAAAGAAACGGTAAACTCCTTTCGAGTTTCGTGTAACAAAATGCTAGGCAGGGTTTTGTTACTTGGAACGCACAAAAGTACACGGTACATTTAAACATAACAGGCCTGAAGGCATTGTTTTTCTTGGTAGTGGAAATTTTTCAGCCCTCAAACCCTATTTAAAGTGAGTCATTGAGGGGGGTTATCAGTTGATTTTAGTTGCTTTTTTTGCAAATATGAGTTGCTTATGCAGTTTAGTTAGATTTAAGTTAGTGAGAGATACACTACTGGATCTAATTGTCAGTTCCGAGCGTTAAACCGATATTTAAGTTACTATTGTTATTGTTGAATGGCTTGTCTATTCTTATGTAAATGTGATCTCCCCTGTGCTTTATCCCTTTCATCACCGAGAAGCAGGCGGTTCTTGGGATTGCCTAGGAAGACAAAGGACTCCCCTCTAATACGTTGGAGGAGTTGAGTCGGGTTGTCAGGGTGTTAGAGATGGCAGGTATCAAGCGGGGTCCACTCTCTTTAACTTAACCCAAATTCTAGTCCATATCCGTTTACTCCTAGGAACAAACATGAAGGTTCCACCATAGAATTCAGCATTTCTAACACAATCAGACTTGAGTGTCAGTTCAAAGAGTTTGAAAATGCATTTCCAGCTTGGCATTAAAATTATCAATTATCAAATTATCAGAAACTCTTTCCGCTAAATTCCCCGCAAAATTTTCAACAATTCTTTCAACAAAGTTCAGTAAAAAAAGTTGAAGCTATGTATTGAACTTTACTAAAATTTTCTAAATTGTCAAAATCAAAAAAATCTCTCATAAATTTCCACGTGACCTCCAGTTGGCTGGGAATCGCAAAATTTTGCTTAACATCTCTGGAAAAACAAATGAGAAACGATGAGAAATCGGAATCGTGGAGGAGGTTTTCTTGTATCAGTAATCTTTTCCTCCCCTGAATCAATTCTAAGCCAGCTTTTTGCAGGCGGCCAAATTTGGCCTCACTTTTGACTTTAGCTTTTTTTAAATGCTGTCCAAATGCCGCTTAGCGCTTCGACAGAAAAGTTTATTTTGTCTGGGAAAGCTACAGTAGCCGGAAAGGAAAATTGAATTTCTTTAGGAAAATATTAAATTTCAAAGCACCCTGTGCCTTTTTGGAGCCTAAAGAGGGGAAAAATTTGGGGAAAATTGAAGTTCAGCAAGCATAAAAATATCCAAAAAAGTAAAAAGAGAGCCATTTTTGTACAGAACTTAACTGAATATCACAGAGTTTTTGTTTTTTGCAAAAATCGGAAAAAATCACTTCTTTCCACTTGTTTAGGCTGTTTTTCGCGGGGACGGTGCTCGTTTCGTTCTGAAAAATTTCAAATTTTAAGCTGTTTTCTATAAAGTAACTCGGCTACCGTACACCTCAAATTCAATTTGCATATTAGCGAGATTTTGAGCTAAATCAGCGTGGTGCAACCCAGTTTAGCGAAATCTTAAAGGATCCGGTCTCAGATCAGTGTAGCTTCCTATAAAATGACTCAGCTAAAGGCTACCGTAACCCCCAAAACTCAATTCGCATATTAGCGAGAAATTTTTGAGCTAAATCAGCGTAGTGCTACCCAGTTTAGCGAAATCTTCAAGAATCCGGCCTCAAATCAGTCTAGCTTTCTATAAAATGACTCAGCTAAAGAGCTACCGTAATACAGATATTCAAATTTGCATATCAGCTTAGAGAATTTTGTAATAAATTTGTATATACTGCTATCCATGAAACCCAAATTTTCGAAAATCGAGTCTCAAAGCAGTCTGCTTTTCTATAAAATTATCCAGCTACCGTAAGCCTGATATTCAAATTTGCATATAATTTAGAAATTTGGAGACAAACTAGCGTCGCGCTATCCAGGATGACGAAATTTCAAAAAACCAAAGCGCTTTTAAAACCGCTTGTTCTCACCTTGTTCTGCTTGTTCTTCTTTCCCTTGTTCGCCTTTTTCGCCTTTTTCACACGCGTGGCCTGGGCCTGGAAATTTTCAATAGGAAAAGCCAAGTTGGGCTCGAAAATGAAATCTGATTCCAAAAACAAACGAACTCTTTTCTGTGTGGCCTGTCTGCAAGCCTTGGTCTTCTCCTTGGTCGTCTTTCTCAAGGCGACAATCTTGCTCTTGAAAGTCGTATCATTTTGGCATCTTAAATGGATTAAGATTGGAGATTTATGCTTTTAAATTTCAACTTTCAAATCCCAAATTCAAATTTCAAAAGCCAAATGCCAAAGAAACCCACTGTTTCACCGGTTGACAGCATTTGGCCAAGGCAACGCATTTCGAGCGCTGTTGTCGCGAGTCTCTCAAACAGGCTCGATGCTGCAGTTTAGCGGCTTTGTTCTGAAATTTAATTCAATATTAGCACTATCGTGAGCCCTAGTTTCTGTTGTAGATTTGGTTGCTTATTTTTCGAGAGCTATTAGGCTAGATTAGCCCTAGATTAGCTTTCATAAAGGCTCAGAGTTAAAGTTGACCACTTGCGACCTTTTTTGCCGACTCCCGGGTTTACTTGAAGCGTGGTTTAAAGCGTCAATTCCGTTCAAAAAACATTGGTGTTTTCAGAAAAATTACTAATAGAATGGGCAGAAAGACGTAAAAAGAATGAAATGAATGAAGAATGGAGAGAGAAATGGAGAGCGAAGAGCAAGAGGGGACCGAGTCAGAACGAATCAGAACTGAATCAGAACTGAATCAGAACTGAATCGAACTGAATCCAGAACTGGATCGGAACCGAATCAGAACTGAATCAGAACTGGATCGGAACCGAATCAGAGCTAAATCGGAACCAAATCTGAACCTCTTTCTTTTCTTTTCACCTCCAAAAGGGATACGGTAGTTTTACCAAGATTTTAAAGCGTTAACCCAGGATTTTCTAGAAAAAAGTGATAAACTAGTGAAAAAGCTCTCAAAAACTACCGTAAATCTTCTAATATTAAGCCCCATATCGAGCGTCGCGTAGTCGTAAGTTTACTCTTAAACAAACGCTCATATCTTGACACGAGTACGTTTGTTTTTGCACGCCTAGTCAGCAAACTAAAGTATAAAGAATAGGTGAGAAGATAATCAATGAAATTTTGCTTTATTTCTCTGAGCTTACTTTGAGTCCTTGCTAGGCGCACGTCGCACTTTCTCCCGATTCAGTGGTGGCCGCCGGTGGCGTGGACGGTACCAGTCTCAAAGGCGGTTGAGACCTAAAAACATTTTTATATGCTTATTTTTAAAGATAACTTGAATATCATTCATTTTCTATTGAAAAAGGCTTTTAGCAAGGGTTTTCTAAACAAAAAAAAAGTGTTGCGTCAGCTTTTCTAAGCGAGCTTTTTGAAATTTAAGTTAGAAAACTTTCGATTTTCAATTTCCAAGGTCGAAAAATGTGTCCCAAGCTCGAAAATCGTGAAAAATTCGTTAAAGTCGTTAGTTTTACTTTACTTTACCTTATCACATTTCTCTTTTCGTTTCCCGGTGAGTTCGGTGGCTGGAAGCGGCTTTTTCCGAAACGCATTGTCTTCGGCGGCGGCTTTCTGAAATTCGAAATCGATAAATGAAGAAAGATCCCTGGAGTTTATCAGCTAATCAATAACGCCTAACGTTTCGGAAATCACCTCAGCCAATAGCTGGTTCATTTTGTTGTGCTCGTCGCGGGCCGCCTCGCATTCGTTCAATTCCTAAAAGCTGCAATTATTGGAGTCTAATGCTGAAGTAGTTTTGAGGGAGTTTTAGCCCTGAGAGAATTCAAATACGCATTCTGGACCTCACAAGAGATTTTAAGTTGAAAAAATCGCAGATTAAGGGAAATTTGAATTTTTGGGATTTTTGAGTGGTGGGTGACTGAACCGAAATCTTCTTTCTGTGCATCAATCAGTGCATTTGAAAAGATCGCAATGGGCGAGCTGGATGTCACAAGAGATTTTGCGGATAAGTTTTGAGGGGAATTTTGAAAGTTTCGCACAAATTTGGGCAATCGATCCGAGTTGGTAGCGTTAAATTTGGAATTTCTCAAAGAATAAACACCTAAAAATATTGAAATAAGCCTTCTGGATGTCACAAGAGATTTTGAGCTCAAAATCGCGATTGGGGGGAACTTGGCTTTTCTAAATTTTCCAGAAGTGTGTAATTGAACCGAAATTTTTTGAGACTTTCAAAGGGAAACATTTGGAAAAGATTACATGACTTCCAGATAGTCATTATCTAAGCGAAAAATTCAATTATTCCTGTTTGATTTAATGTTTTTTCGGTAGAATCAGTTACCCATCGTTTACCTTCTTACCCGCATTCAGTTTTGACTCTGAAAAGATTGAAATAAGCCTCCTGGATGGCACAGAAGATTTTGAGCTCAAGAAGTCGGAGATTGAGGGAAATTAGGATTTTTGGAATTCTCGGAGAAGTGCGTAGATTAAACCGAAATTTTTCGGAAGCTTTTTCAAGGGGAAACATTTGGAAAAGGTTACATGACTTCCAGATAGCTGTGGAAACGATGGGAATTCTCATTAAATCTCACGGTATTTTGGAAAGCGGTATCCTCCAACGTGGCGCACTGTTGTTGCTTGTGCGGACGACAGCCATGCAACCCACATATTGCTCACAAAGAGAATTCTGAAAGTGTACATTGAAGCGAGATAAATGCAGAAAAAGATAAGATGTCGGTGTAAAATGTAGAAACATTTTAAGCGAAAATGCTCTTTTTTGAGTTTTCGATTGAATTTTTGTGGGGGGGATTTGGTCTTATGTTTTGATCGAAAAGCTAGCTTTTTAGACCCGGCAGGACCTTTCATTATGGACCTTCGGCCATGGAACACGTTGCAGACTCCAGTGTAGCACGCGTGCAGCCCTGAACACTAAGGGCATCACAGACCTGTTATTGCGCACTTTCGTGGCTCGATATCCGCCAGTTCACCGACTCGCAAAGAGCAAGTCCCGCGAACGATTCCCTGGATTTCTCGGAAACGGTTCAGTCCCAGGTAGCGACGGGTGGTGTGTACAAATCGCAGGACGTATTAAGAGCGAGATGATGACTACACTTACCAGGGAATTCCTCGTTCGAGGGAAATAATTGCAATTCCCTATCCACGGAATCTTTTAACGGTTTGCCACTGACCCTTCGGCTATGGAACACGTTGCAGACTCCAGTAGCTGTAGTAGCTGTAGCACGCGTGCAGCCCCGAACACCTAAGGGCATCACAGACCTATTATTGCGCACTTTCGTGCGACTCGATACCGCCAATTCCTCTAAGGACACCCGCGAACGAAATTATTCGCGGTGTATTAAGTAGGGGTGCGTCTCGCTCGTTATCGGAATAAACCAGACAGATCGCTCCACCAACTAAGAAACGGCCATGCACCACCAACCACCCGAATCACGAGAAAGAGCTCTCAGTCTGTCAATCCTTACAGTGTCCGGGCCGGGTGAGTTTTCCCGTGTTGAGTCAAATTAAGCCGCAGGCTCGACTCCTGGTGGTGCGATTCTGTCAATTCCTTTAAGTTTCAGCTTTGCAACCATACTACCCCCGGAACCGGAAGTCTTCGTTTCCGGGAAGCTCCCCGGCAAGGGCGGTAAAACCACTACCTGGATCGCTAGATAGTATCGTTTACGGTTAGAACTACGGCGGTATCTAATCGCCTTCGAATCTCTGACTTTCGTTCTTGATTAACGAAGACATTCTTGGCAATGCTTTCGCTTTAAGAACGGCCATGCACCACCAACCACCGAATCAAGAAAGAGCTCTCAGTCTGTCAATCCTTACAGTGTCCGGGCCGGGTGAGAATAAAATTCCCGGGAAATCTATGTAAATCTATGTAAACCTAGCTAGGATTTTCATTTTATTAGAAAATCATTTCTTTTCTAAAACCCACCGATGCAAAAGCTGCCGCTGATGTCGCCAGAAACACAAAAATTACCCGATTCATCGCCATAGGGAAATTTGTGCTGAAAAACAAATATAAAACTTTAAATTGTCGCTTGTTAAACACAAAAATAAAGAGTCTGAGCAGAATTTCCTAAAATTTGTAAGAAGATTTCAAAGTTTTTCAACGAAAAATCCAATCTGGAGTGCATGGATGAAGATCAACGGGAAAAACGGCTGGAATTGAAAGTTCTGAAAAAATGTTTGAACAAGATTTCCAAGCTGGATGTCACAGAATCCTAATCACTAGGCAGAACTAGGAAAAGTTGAAAATCTCTTTAAGCTGGAGTGCATGGATGAAGGACAACAGGAAAAACGAATGGAATTCAAAGCTCTGGAAAAGTGTTTGAACAAGATTTCTAAGCTGGATGTCACAGAACCCTAATCACTAAGCAGAACTAGGCAAAACTTGAAAATCTTCTCAAGCTGAGCACATGGATGTAGATCAACAGGAAAAAACGCTGGAATTCAAAGCTCTGGAAAAATGTTTGAACAAGATTTCTAAGCTGGAGGTCACAGAACCCCAATCACTAAGCAAAACTTGAAAATCTCCTCTGCACATGGATGAAGAATCAATAGGTTCTGGGTTCCGGGAGGCGGCTCTTGATGGAATGGAAATGGACTAGAATGGAAGAAAGAGGAGCGCAAAAAAAATTGAGGCAGAAAATGGGAGGAGCGTTTTTCGGGACTTCAACGAGATGTGGACGGGGGGAAAGCTGAAAAAAAACGAATAGAAAGAGGTCCTCGAGGGCCTAGGGGTCTTCGAGGTTCTTCAGCGAGAGGAAAGGAAAAAGAGAAACGTGTGCGTGTTTGCCATGTCAGTGAAAGTGAAAGGCTCTTTTAATCATTTCGCTAGTGAAAATACCACTTTGGAAAAGTTTCAGAAAACACAAAATTTCGGGTTTAATTTAACGCGAAGAAAGGCCAGAAAGCCATCTTTGGCGAATCGACGCAGCGGAGTCTGGCTGAATAGCTTGACCCGGAAAGGTGGTAACTAAATTTTTCGCTTAAATAATGTCGATCTGGAAGTCATGTCAACTTCTCCAAACGTTTCCCTTTTGAAAAGTCTCAAAAAAATTTCGGTTGAATTACGCACTTCTCCGAAAATTCATAAAATCCAAATTTCCCTCAAACTCGGTTTTTGAGCTTAGAATCTCTTGTGACATCCAGAAGGCTTATTTCATCTTTTCAAGGGTCAATTCTTTGAGAAATTCAAGATTTCGGACTATGAACTCGGATCATTTACCCAACTTTGTGCAAATTCTCAAATTCTTCTCAAATCTTATTCTCAAAATCTCTTATGTAATCCAGCTTGACCATTGCGATCTTTTCAAAGGATATTTTATACAAGAAATCGCCAAACCAACTCTCAACCTGGTATCTAGGCTATCCAAACGTGGCTTACAGGCTTAGAGTTAAAGGTTAGAGTTGAAGGTTAGAGTTGAGGGCTTTCAAGAACGCTATTTTAAGCCCTCAACATTCATTTACAATACCAGAAGTTACAGAATTACAGAATACAGAAAGATATTCGAAATAAAAATATTGCATTAAAAGTTGAAAGACTTTATTGATCGTTTGGATTTTCACAAAATGTTCATTAGAGTCAAAACTTTGAGAATTCTTGCGTGTTTAGAAACGGAAGAGCCTGTGTTCGAAAGCAGAGGCTTTGTAGAAGAATGAGAAGAAATTTTTGCGAGAAAAGGCTGGAATTGAAAGGAAAAGGACGGATTGAGTGAGGAGATTGAACTCCTTTTGCAACAATGGGAATCAAGTGGGATGAAAAGAGAAAAGAATGGGCTTAGTTGAGAAGGGGAAGAGGACAAGGGTCATTCGAGGAATGGAGGAAGAAATGCAGTTGAAAGGGAGAAGAGTAAAGGGATTGAAAAGTTTCAAGTTAGGTCAGAGCCCTGCTAGAAACCCAGAAGCACACCAGAAGCCAGGTCCAAGTCTTGCCTGAATTTTCTGGGCTGGCCAAGCCAACCTTGTAAAGACAAGGAGGTCTGGCCAGGCCAACCTTGGAAAGACAAGGTCAGGTCTGGCCAGGCCAGAAGACAGGCACGGTAAGGCCAAGCCAGAAGCCAGGTCATACTTTTGCTCTGGCTTGGCCTAGAAAGATTGCTAGAACAACCGTGAAGAAGTGGCTAGACCGGCAACTTTATGAACCTAATAAATAGCCCTTGAAATAGCTCTATTTAGACGATCAGCGAAAATTTGGGTATCCTGGAGAACAGTGTACAAATCTATCTCAAAATTTCTTGCTAATATGCAAATTGAGTTTTGGGGGTTACGGTAGGTGTTTAGCTGAGTCATTTTAAAGAAAGCTAGACTGATTTGAGGCCGGATTCTTGAAGATTTCTCTAAACTGGATAGCACTACGCTGATTTAGCTCAAAATTTACTAGAGTAGCTAAATTGGGAGCAGAGTTGGGACCTGGGAATTCGAGCTTTCAAAAACAGCAATTCTTTTCAATTCTAGACCCCAAAAAAAACTCTACTTTCAACTGATTACTATTTTTTTCGACGCTAAACACATAACATTGCTCTCAGCACGGCTAATGAATTCATCTAATGGCTGGATCGATGTCAATGGAAAAGAGACAGCTTTGCGTGGAGGAGTACATGAAAAATCGGTTGGACCATCTGTGCGCGGCCGCTTGCATCAATTATTCATTCGAAAAGATCGCAATGACCGAGCTGGGTTGCACAAGAGATTTTGCGGACAAGATTCTTGAAAATTTGAAAATTTCGCACAAATTTGGGTAATCGATCCGAGTTGGTAGTGGGAAAGCTTGAATTTCTCAGAGAATTGACCCTGAAAAGATTAGAATAAGCCTTCTGGATGTCACAAAAAGATTTTAAGCTTAAAAAATCGGAGATTGAGTAAATTTGGGAAAATTTGGATTTTAGGAATTTTCGGAGAATTGGGTAATTAAACCGAAATTTTTTTTGAGACTTTTCAAAGAGGAAACATTTGGAGAAGACTACATGACTTCCAGATAGTCATTATTTAAGGGCAAAATTTAATTACTACCTTTCCGGGTCAAGCTATTCAGCCAGACTCAGCTGCGCCGATTCGCCGAAAGGTGTTGGCTGAATGGCTTTCACTTGAAAAGCAAAAATGAGGTCAGAAAACGAAAATTGGGTTTCCAGTTTGCTCGCGGCATTGTCCTGCACCGGTTTGACCCAGTTTTCGCTTTTTTTTGGTGTGGAAAGCAAAAATAGACAACGATCTGCTCGGGAGCGATTTCGAGTTCATCTAGCGAGTTTCCGGAGGTGTGAGGAAAGTTTCCGGAGGTGCTGGAGCGCACAGAAGGTGAGGAAAAGAAAATAAAGGCGATTTTGCGAAATTGGTAGCAGCCGGGTTCGAACCCTTGACCTTTCGCTTGGTAGCCAAGCTCGCTAGCCACTCGGCCATGGTGAAACTTGAGAATTTTGAGGGAATTTTTTGAAATTCGGGCGTTGTGCCTTCCATAATCGTAAATGAGGCGCCGGAAAGCAACAATCAAAATGGAAATTAGGCGAAAATTGGCGAAAATTGGCGCCGAAAAGGGAAATTGAGTGTTTGGGTGGTTTTGGCGAAGAAAAGGGGTGAATGGGCGGGTGAATTGAGTGTCATGATGAGCAATCATCCTACTCTGGAGCACAAAAAGGGCGAATGAATGAATGGGGGAATGGGGGAATGGGGGAATGGATATGGAAAGAGGAGGGTTGTGGACCTTGAGGCCTTAAGTAGGCTGACTATGCAAGGGTTTTCTTTATTGACATTTAGATCCTAAAAACGCCTGCCTGCCTGTCCTGCCTTCAATAGACATCACGATCGATAAATGCAAATTTTGTTGGCTGAATATCGTTAAAACGCTTTGGTTCCATATCGGGTGTCCTGAGGTCTTTGAAAGCTGACGGATTGAATTTTACAAATTGAAATTAGCTTTCGTGACTTCCAGAATGAGCAGATAAATTCTTAAAATGGAAATTTTTTTGAGAAAAACCTTTTAAAATGGTTAGATCAATTTCAGCGATGCAAACCCTCGAAATGGACTACTGAAAGTAAACGGTAATGAATGTGTGAGTCGCTGCAGGCACTCCCAAAAGACTCTAGACCCTCAAATAGACCATTAAACACCGATTCCCATCCTCAAAAGTACTTTCAAGTCTTTCACGTACCCTTCAAATATTGGACACTCGACTTCAACGCCTTTGTTTCGTCGAGGAAATAATTTTCGCCTTTTTCGTTTTACTTTTCGGCGCTTCTGGAGGTCATGTTACAAATTGGGTGAAGAAAAACAAATAAAATGGGAATTTTTGTAGGACCAATGTTCACCAATTCTTTAATGATAAATTGTGGAATTTTTGACAAACTAACAAACCAAAATACTTGAGAAAAACAAAAACAAATAGACTGGGTCCAAGTTTATACTGTTCTTTCTACACCATACTAAATACTACTAAAGTTTCGTGCATTCAAGAATTCAAGGATGGCCAAAGAACATGACAAAGTCAGTCAAGCAAGGGAAAGCTTTAAAGCACGAGCTTTAAAGGGCGCTTTTCAATCGCCAGCTCGAAGACAACGGTGGCCTAGTGGATAGTGGGTCGACCTCTCAGGCGTGGGTTCGGGGTTCGATCCCGCTCTTGGCTTTTGGTTTTTTCTTTCAATTTAATACGTTACAAATTTTTGCCTGTTCGTTGCCTGTTGATTTCCTGTTCATCGCCTGTTCATCGCCTGTTCGTTGCCTGTTCATCGCCTGTTCATTGTCTGTTCATTGCCTGTTCATTGCCTGTTCGTTGCCTGTTCATTGCCTATTCATTGCCTCTTCGTTGCCTGTTCGTTGCCTGTTCATTGTCTGTTCATTGCCTGTTCGTTGCCTGTTCATCGCCTGTTCAATAGTAAGACAGAGGCCAGCTCTGGGTCCAGTTTTTCGTTTTTTTGGCTTACCAAACTAAGACCAAAGCCTACCAGAAGTTCGTGCCTTTCCTTAGTAATCTATAAAATGGTGATTTCATGCCTGAGGTTCTTGGAGAACTTTTCAAGAAAGAAGGCTAAGAAAATCCAAACGCATTTCGTGCAAGTATGAATTTTCTCTCTTCGATCATCAGAGAAAGCAAGAAAATCGGAAAACGGAGAAACTTAAATGAGAAAAAAAAGAAGATAAAGGGGATAAAGCTGGGGATTCAGCTTCAAAAAAACAAACGAATTTGAGAGGAAAAAAAAGCGTTCGGCGATAAGAATTCGAGAAGAACTCGATAAGAACAAGAATAAAACACGATTTTTGAGAAAACAAGTTCTTTATCTTCAAAAAAAGTGCTTGTTTTCTCAAAAAAAAAATTGAAAAGCCAAGTTCTTCAAGAAGGGGGAAAAGTGCAAATTGGGTTTTAGAGGAAAGACGAAAAAAATCCGTTCAAGTTGAGGCACTTTTTCCAACTGAAATTTGTCGTGTGACTTCCAGGATTGACAAAAATATCAGGCATTTCAGGGAAAGTCGTTACTTTTTAGGCAGAGTTGAGGCTTCAAGAGTGCCCAGTATCGGGTCTAGAGTGTCTAAAGAGTCATTTTTACTAGAAAACTCGTATTTTTGAGTAAAGTGACATCCAGAACTTGGAAAAGTTCAGGAAATTTTCCGCTTACCAACATTCAAAATGAAAGAAAAGCCGCTTAAACGAGATGACTCCGATTTCTCCAAATTGGTGGGTTTAAACGGGATTTCGCTAAAGTTTTCTCAAATCATGGAATGCAGGAGACGAAATGAGAGTGAAAATTTAGAGAAAATAAAATGAAAAAATAAAAAAACAAAAAGGCGTTCGGCGGATTCGAACCCTCGAGTCTCTGCTCGGCAAACGGCGCCCCAAACCATTACGTCATGAGGTAAAGTCGTCTAGATGTCGATTTTGCAAAAAAAAAACAAAAAAAATGGATCAAAGAAGACACGCAATGGAAAAAAAAGACGAAATAGAGGAAATTGAAAACAAAGAAAAAAGAAGCTCTTAATTTCCTTGCTTTTTCCCGAAATGACCCAATTTTTGAAGGAAAATGGGAGCCGAATGATGAAAAATAGATGAAAATTGGAAAAAGTTTCATTTTTCGAGGAAAAACGAAAAAGAAAAGAAGAAAAAGTAGGGGCCGAACGTTCAAAACAGATTTCACGACAATTTCAGACAGATTGTTCAGCAATTATCCATTCTAAAAGATCGCAATGGTCGAGCTGGATGGCACAAGAGATTTTGCGAACGAGATTTGAGGGAAATTTGAGAATTTGCACAAAGTTGGGTAATCGATCCGAGTTGGTAGTGCTAAATTTTGAATTTTTCAGAGAATTGACCAAATGGGGGAAATTTTTTTTTTTTTTTATTTTTTTATAATTAAATAAATTTTTTTTATTTTTTAAAGGGGAAAATTTGGGGAGGGTTGTTATTTGGGGGATTTAAAAAAATATTTTTTTTTTTTTTAATTTTTTTTTTTGGGAATTTTTTTTTTTTTTCCCCTTTAAAAGATTGAAATAAGCCTTCTGGATGTCACAAAAGATTTTGAGCTCAAAAAATACGGCGATTGTTAGGGAAATTTGGATTTTCCGAATTTTCGGAGAAGTGCGTAATTAAACCGAAATTTTTTTTGAAACTTTTCAAGAGGGAAACATTTGGAAAAGATTACATGACTTCCAGATAGGCATTATTTAAGCGAAAGATTTAATTATCATCTTTCCGGGTCAAGCTATTCAGCCAGGCTCAGCTGCGCCGATTTGCCGAAAGATTTTGGCTGAATGGCTTTCACTTTCATAAGGGAAAAAATGAAAATTTGGGTTCCAGTTTGCTCGTGGCATTGTCCCGCACTGGTTTGATCCCGATTTCAAGCTTGGAAGCAATCGGATGTGCAAAAAAGAGCAATAAAAAAGAGGTTGGTCGAGATTTTGACGTTAGTGAGTGCCAAATTCGTGCATGGAGAAAGCAAAGAAGCTAGCTTTACCAATGCAAAGAAGAAGTCAAAGAAATTGTCTGGTGGCGGACGTCGATTCTGATCGTTTTGATGCCTCGATGCCTTGCAATCGATACCCCATAAACTATGAGAGAACAAACGAACTTGAACGAACTTGAAACAGCTCAAACTTCATACAACGATTATTCCAGGAGCCGTATTGAAATGGCCTATTCGAGAAGAAGAGGAAGAAGGAGAAGAAGGGGAAGAAGGGGAAGAAGAGGAAGAAGAGGAAGAAGAGGAAGAAGGAGAAGAAGAGGAAGAAGAAGGGGAGGAAGAAGAAGAAGAAGAAGAATAGGGAAGAAGAAGAAGAAGAAGAAGAAGAGGAAGAAGAGGAAGAAGGAGAAGAAGAAGGAGAAGAAGAAGAGGAAGAAGAAGGGGAGGAAGAAGAGGAAGAAGAAGGGGAGGAAGAAGAGGAAGAAGGAGAAGAAGGGGGGGGGGGGGGGGGGGGGGGGAGAAGAAGAGGAAGAAGAAGGGAGAAGAGGAAGAGGAGGGAGGAGAAAGAAGAAGGGAGGAAGAAGAAGGAAGAAAAGGAAGAAGAAGAAGAAGAAGAAGAAGATAGAAGAAGAGGAAGAGAGGAAAGAAGAAGAGAGAAGAAGGAGGAAGAAGAAGAGGAGGAAGAAGAGGAAGAAGTGAGGGGGGGGAGAAGAGGAAGAAGAAGGGGGGGGGAAGAAGAGGAAGAAGGGGGGAAAGAGGGAGAAGAAGGGGGGGGAGAAGGGGGAGGAGGGGGAAAGGAAGAGGGGGGGGAAAAAAGAAGAAGGGAAGAAGAGGAAGAAGAAGAAGAGGGAGAAGAGGAAGAAGGAGAAGAGGAGGAAGAGGAAAGAGGAAGAAGAGAGGGGAGGAAGAAGGACCGAAGAAGGAAGAAGAGGAAGAAGAAGAAGAGGAAGAAGAAGAAGAATAGGAGAGAGAGGAAGAAGAAAGAAGAAGAAGAAGAAGAAGGAGAAGAAGGGGAGAAAGAAGAAGAAGAAGAATAGGAAGAAGAAGAAGAAGAAGATGAGGAAGAAGAAGAGGAAGAAGAAGAAGAGGAAGAAAAGGAAGAAGAATACCATGGCGAATAGATGTTAACTGCAGTGAGAGAAGTACTAAAATCTATACAATTCAAAGCCAAAAAGCCGAACGCTTCGACTTTTACGAAAATTTTGAGACAAAGTCGTTGCGTCGCTTGGCTGTGCATAGAGTTAATTGAAAAAGCCGAAAGGGAAAGGGTTCACCCATTTCGAAAGGCAAATGAGCGCATCGGGATGGAGCCAATTTCAGATCCGGCCAAACACTAAAGACTCTTTAGAGACATCGAAATGAAGATGCCTATAGGAAAGGGGCACTACGAGAACAAAAAAAAATATCGGTAGATTAAAAATCTAACTTCTGTAAAATATAGTATGCCTGCCAGCTAAGCTAAAAACAAAAAATAAAAAATTCTGATAATCGGAAAAAAAGTTATGATCGGGTACACGATAAGCAAAAAAGGTTTTGGTGAAAATCGAAAATCCTAAAGATCTGAATCCTTAAAAATCTAGTGTGACATCCAGAAAGAACAAAAAACGCAATTTTAAACTTTTTTGAGCATTTCTTGAGCCTAAAAATTAGCTCTGAACCGCACTTTTGAGAGTTTGCGACTATTCCTAGAAATTGGTAAGGGGAATTCTGTTTAAATTATTTTTTTTCTTCGATCTGGATGTCACACTAGAATTGTAAGGATTCAGATTTTCGATTTTCATCAAAACATTTGTACTCGATGTGGTGCTTGTGTTGTGATAGGTCTAACAAGGGAATACCACAAAATGGCCGTAGCAGATTTTGACGCCGCTGAGATGTAAACGCCTATCGAACACGGCGAATCCGATGCTGGATTCAGCTTTTGTCCATATTCAAAAACAAGCGAGAAAAACGTGTCCAAAATTTGGGTGTCTACTCGAGAAATCTATTTGGGATGCGGGCTTATAAAGGCTTTTTTCTGACCTTCGAAATGTGACCAGATGGTAGTGGTAAATTCTCCCGGAATTTGTATCTCAACGTCCTCAAAATCTGCCTACAGCCATTTTGCGGTATTCTCTTGTAAGGTGAGCCAGCTAAGCAGCTTGCCTGGAAACGTGAGCCAAGAGATTTAGCTTTACAGCTTACAGTCTACAGCCTACAGCCTAAGCCTAAGCCTACAGCTACCCCCCCCAATATTACGCCTTATTTGAGTCCACAGCCGCTCAAATACCCATTCAAACTACAGCCAAATCCAACTCATATCTCATTGCCAGACTAGCCCTACAACCCCGCAGCCCCCCCTAAGCCATTTAAACCCTCTTGTCACTACTTGATCAGTCACAGTAGTCTCAAATCTAGGGTCATAGGCAAGCCTGTCCTATAACTAGGCTAAAGCCTCAAGCCTACAGCCTACAGCTAAGCCTAAGCTGGCTAAGCTTCATTCACAGCTAAGCCTACAGTACTGCGACACGGCTTACAGCTCTATAGCCTTGACACAACACGGTGATCTTACAGCCTTACAGTAAACTGGGCAAAATCTAGGCATTGAGTTTTGTTTCAGAAGCAATGGAAAAATTTAAATGCTAATTTTTCTGCATTCAAAAGTGAGATTGTTTTTTGTGACTTCCAGAATGTTTAAAAGTAAAGGAAAATCCGGATTTTATTAAGATTTCAAGCAAAAGAAAGCTGTGGTCAGCTTTATTTTGATTTTGGAGTTGATTTTTATCTTTTTTGATGGTGCTAGGGTCAGAAATGTTGTTTTTCGAATTCTTAAAGATTTATTCAAATCGATAACTTTTAATCATCAATCGTAGGCATTTTGATTGTTTGAAAGATTCGACGCCTCGAGCGTTTCCGTTTCGGCAACGATTGCAGAAGATCCTTTCCCCACGGTGATTCGATTCGCTTTTTCTTGTCGCTCTCATTTCTCGGGAACAAATCACCTTTCGGTGCGACATCAAAGCTCATCGTCATCGTCGTTTGACGATGGTATCTAGAATTAAAAGAATTATAGAAAAAAGAGTTCTCAAACCTCTGCATTCGGGTCGAGTGCAAATCGCGCAAATCCTGAGCCTCGTTTTTCTGAAATGAAATTTTGTTGAAGAAAACATTCGAAAACACTCTTGTGCACTCCAACTAAGAGAAACATTAAGCAAAAAAGGTCTTAAAATACTGTAAATCTCAGGAGTTTCGACCAGCTATCGATCGAGCAGCTATCGATGGACTAGCTATCGATGGACCAGCTATCGATCGACCAGCTATCGATCGATCAGCTATCGTTGGACTAGCTATCGATCGAGCAGCTATCGATGGAGCAGCTATCGATCGAGCAGCTATCGATCGATCAGCTATCGATCAACCAGCTAAAAGCGAAGAGCCCAAAGACCATCCTCACCCGATTTGTTGCTCGACTACTCGGCAATCCGCCTAACGAGTCTTCTTCAGCGATTGTGTCATATTTCTCAAGCATTGGTGTGATGATCGGATCGTCGCGAACATTGCCTAGAAGATGACAGTAAGCTTTGAACGAATAAATGGCTGATAGCTAACAATGAGGATTTTAAATGGACTTGGTGGACAAAATGGATATTTGCCATATATCATCGAACGCAGAATTACACGCTGATTCCGAAACTGTTTTCCGTTTCTGTTATGGAGCACTCTATCAAAAGTTATAGGGGTTCAAAGTTTTGTTTAGAAGTTTTGTATGGAAACAGAGTTTATCAGCAGATTTCTCAGAGACCGCTAGGAGCAGCCCTTGAAATAGCTCTATTTAGACGATCGACCAAAATTTGGGTATCCTGGATAGCTGTGTGCAAATTTATCTCAAAATTTCTCGCTAATATGCAGATTGAATATTTAGGGTTACGGTAGCTCTATAGCTGAGTCATTTTATAGAAAGCTAAACTGCTTTGAGGCCGGTTTCTTGAAGATTTCGCTAAACTGGATAGCACTACGCTGATTTAACTGAAAAGTTTTACATACTATGCAAATTTGAATATCTGGGTTACGGTAGGTGTTTAGCTGAGTCATTTTATAAAAAGCTAGACTGATTTGAGGCCGGATTTTTGAAGATTTCTCTAAACTGGATAGCACTACGCCGATTTAACTGAAAAGTTTTACATACTATGCAAATTTGAATATCTGGGTTACGGTAGCTCTATAGCTGAGTCATTTTATAGAAAGCTAGACCTACTTCTTTGTTTCTCCTGAATCGATGCACTTGACAAAGACTGATTTGGCGTTTCTTCTTGGCTCTGTCGATCCGTTGTGCTCACCATTTCAAAGCGAACTCTCGTTTCTCCGCGATTTCCCTCTTCTGGTTGTATCGGTGGCAGCGGTGGTGAAACGCTGAAAAACGCTCATTTTCAACTATTCCTTTTTCAATGACCTTTGCGTTTTTGGTCGACTCTGATGGTTTTGGCGATCGTTGTGAATTCGGCGCTGTTGTGCGCCCCATCGTCGATGGTCGATCTGGAAATGAAAGCGATTTGTTTTTCAAATGTCGAGCTCTGAGACAACGAGCGACTAAAACTCGAGACATTTTGAAGAAAAAAAAGATATAAGAAGCTCGAATTTATTAAGATTCAGCCGTTGTTTGTACTAGAAACTACAAACTACAAAATCAGACAATCAAACCCTTATAAAAACATATAGAAAAGAGATTTAGCAAAACTTTCAAAACATCGAGCCAACTTTAGGCTTTCAAATGACAACATAAATCAGAGCAAATCCTCTTTTCTGTGTGTTAGAAAAGAGTTAAATGAAGTGCCAAAGCTTGTTGTTTTTGAATTTTTGTTGTCTTGTTGTCTTGTTGATGAAATATCAATGAACTTGTTTATTTCGAATTATTAAAACTCGAAAAAACAACTGTTTGTTTGTTGTTTTATTCAAAAGCTCAAGAAGGTTGACCGAAATTTTGCGTCAAAAGGATTTATTGGGTTGGGGAGAATGAGTCGGCGCCGAAATTTAAAGAAACTTTTCGCACCCATAAAACCTTCTTTAAATACACGTTTTGTTTCAATCAAAATGGTCCACGATTTCTTTACAAAATGGCTTTTGAGAGATTCCACAAAGCTTTTCTTTTTTGGGATTTTATGGATTCCCAAACACAGCTAATCAAAATGACAAAAAGTCCGACTCATTGCTTGAACAGTTGTCATAGAGTTTCTTCCACATAAACCTCCTTTCGTATTTATATAAAAAAGATAGAGCACACTCAATTACATAAGTTGCCAAATTTTCAGGAAGATCCCACCAATGGTTTTTTCGAGATGACAGTTTATCGATTTTGTGAAAAAATGATCCTTTGTTGAGTTGAGGCGCTGTTTGAGTTCTCTTTTAAATATTATTTTGTAGAGAATTCGTTACCCTTCTACGGATATCAAACGCATATCATTTGACAAAGTCTGCTATAAATTTTAGAAATTTCTTTGATTTTCGGCGCCGACTCATTCTCCCCAACCCAATAAATCCATCGAGCCGCAATTTTCTCCGTGACAACGCGCCAGCTCACACAGCGAAAGCTTCTTGTATGGAGTTAGAGGAACTAGGATGGAGCTAGAGACTTGTCATAGAGTCTTACCGCATGCGCCATAGAGGCCAGACTTGTCATAGAGTCTTACCGCATGCGCCATAGAGGCCAGACTTGTCATAGAGGTCAGACTTGTCACAGGCTGACTGTCACCAGCTGATTTTCACTTCTTCGAATCGATGCAACATTTCCTTGCGAATTGCTAGTTTAAGAATGCGCAAGTGATCGAGATTTGAAATGGCTGACTACTTTGAATCAAAGAATCAAGAGTTCAAGAGCTCTAAAGCGATCCGCAAGCTGAGGTAACGTTGTAGAGATTTTATAAATCATAATGGTGCTTATTTTTTTCAAAATCAATTTATTATCAAAAGGGATTTTGATCTTGATTTTGATTTTGATTTAATTTAATGTTTATAAAAATTAAAACAAAATTTCTTTTGCATAAAAACCTATCGTAAATACTGTAACGAGTCCCCAGCCGCCCTCGTACAGTCGCGTAGTCGCAAAAGTATTTCATTTGTATTTTAGTATTTCATTTTTTTTTTCAAAGCGCTCGTACTTTCAAGAAATGGTATCAAAAGTTTGAAATCGAAAAAATAGCTGAAATTCAGGGCTATTTTTTTGATACCTAAGCGCGCATTGTAGCATAAAGCGGTGTCGAGAAAAAGCTCGTTTAAAGCTAGAAACTACGAAACACTCCGCACCGTCATTATGGGGGTGGGGGACTATTACAGTATTTACGCCATTTACAGTATTTACGCTAGGGGCGCGGATGGCGAGAAAAATGCGTTTAAAGTTCGACTACGCGACGCTCCGACCTATCGGGGGCGCTGCTATTAGAGGTATTACGGTATTTCCAAAAGTACTCAATCAAACGGCTGAAACTTCGTTTCGTTTTCGGATGTCTTCTTAAGAAGACAAGAATCTTAAGGAGATTTCTTAAGAGTTTGGACTCATAGAAAACCTACCGTAAATACTGTAACGAGTCCCCCCACACGCCCTCGTACAGTCGCGTAGTCGCAAAAGTTTCTTTAGTATTTCATTTTTTTTCAATTTTTTTTCAACTCTAGTTTGTAGTCTGTCGTGTGTAGTCTGTAGCTGGTAGTCAGTAGTCTGTCGTGTGTAATCTGTAGCTTGTAGTCTGTCGTGTGTAGTCTGTAGCTTGTAGTCAGTAGTCTGTCGTGTGTAATCTGTAGCTTGTAGTCTGTCGTGTGTAGTCTGTAGCTTGTAGTCAGTAGTCTGTCGTGTGTAATCTTGTAGTCTGTCGTGTGTAGTCTGTAGCTTGTAGTCAGTAGTCTGTCGTGTGTAATCTGTAGCTTGTTGTAGTCTGTCGTGTGTAGTCTGTAGCTTGTAGTCAGGTCTGTCGTGTGTAATCTAGCTGTAGCTTGTAGTCTGTCGTGTGTAGTCTGTAGCTTGTAGTCAGTAGTCTGTCGTGTGTAATCTGTAGCTTGTAGTCTGTAGCTTGCACCAATTTTCCTCCTCACTCACCGACGTTCCCCAATCCAATGCTAGCTGATCGAAGTAGATTCGGCCTTCCTCTTTCGCTGGGAACATCATTTTTTGCCCGTCAACGGAAAGAATCTGAAAAGATGAACATTTTTGAAGAAAAACCCTTAGAAAAACAAATCGAATACCTTGTACAAACGCTCGAAAGTGTACAAAAGTACTTTTGGCTATAAATTTTCTTAAACTCATTCAATCTACATGATTTTTCTGCCATCTAATGTGCGAGAACATTTCCATAACGAATGACGTCAAAATTTGCGCTGATTCGATAAGATAAGTCTAATCGTGAGAAAAGTTATCTGAAGCTACCGTTTCAAGGATTCTCGGCAACTATCGTACTCCTCCCGTTTTTTTATGACGTGTACACTGTTCAAAATCGTATATAAGCTACCGTTTCCCCGCTACCTCTTTTGGTGTTTCTTTCTCTCCGGGGATTTTGATTTGAAGATTGATTTCCTGAACCAGAGTCTCTCGCAATGAATCGTGCAACACTGTCGTTAGCACCATGAAAAGAAAGCACTGAAAATCATTTAATTTGGTAGAAAACCATAGTGTGACATCCAGGATTGTTAAAAACACGATTAAAATTAAGATTACTCTGTTTTGAACAGCTTTTAAAGCTTAAACCCTAAACCTCTTTTAGGCATTATGAAAAGAAAGCACTGAAAATGATCGAATTTGGTAGAAAAACATAGTGTGACATCCAGGATTGTCAAAAATATGATCGAAATTAAGATTACACTTGTCTGAACAGCTTTTAAAGCTCAAACCCTAAACCTCCTTTAGACACTATGAAAAGAAAGCACTGAAAATCATTTAATTTGGTAGAAAACAACAGTGTGACATCCAGGATTGTCAAAAATATGATCGAAATTAAGATTACTCTTTTCTGAACAGCTTTCTTTTCCTCTCAAACCTGTGCCACGTGATAGTAGAAGTAGAACTCGGAGAACAAAGGGATGAGCAATGGGTCGGTGTTTTGAAAAACGCAAATGTATAGGCACAATGAGAAGAGGTTTGTCACACATTTGTATGGGGATAAGTACATCAATAAACGGGCCGCTTTCACATTTCGAGAGGCGCGAAATCTGGAAAAATCTTGTTTTTTTGGGGTTTCAATGAAATCTGATTTAAAAACCGATTAAAGGTTTAGTTTTTTTTTCAGCTTGTTAACTTGGTTTGCTTGGGTTAATGTTTAAAAAGTTACAAGGGAATGGTTTCAGCTCAAAGTTCGGAATCAACTGGAAACACAGTGCATAGCATAGAATGGAAAATCGAACCCGATGGATTGGACCACCGTTTTACAGAGCTAAGCTGCTATCCACTAGGCCAAGAGCTCATCTCTGGCTCTCTGGCTCATCTCTAGCTCATCTCTGGCTCTCTGGCTCATCTCTGGCCCATCTCTGGCTCATCTCTTGCTCATCTCTGGCTCATCTCTTGCTCATCTCTGGCACATCTCTGGCTCTCTGGCTCATCTCTGGCTCATCTCTGGCTTTCTGGCTCATCTCTGGCTCTCTGGCTCGTCTCTGGCTCATCTCTGGCTTTCTGGCTCATCTCTGGCTCCCTGGCTCATCTCTGGCTCTCTAGCTCATCTCTGGCTCATCTCCAGCTTCCGGAAAAGCCTTACAAAGGAATCAGTTTTCAATCCCGATTTTCCATACCAGATCCCTCGCGTTTCCGTCGGTATTCTGGGTAATTTTTTTCCGCGTTTTGTACGCCATTATCCATTCTATTTTATGCACTGTGTTTCCCAGTCGATTCTGAGCTTTAACCCAAAACCATTCCCTTGTTAAAGCTAACCTTTGAGCAACGGTCGCGTATCGTGCATGGCTGACGGTTCTGTGCGCTCGCTTGCAAGCGATTGGGAAAAAGATGAAAATCTAGGGAGAGATGACAATCGATAATCAGTTTTTCCTCTTACCACACACGAGACGAGCATCACCGTGTACGAGACGATGAACACTACCTGAATCAATTCAATCTTGTTTTTCGTTTCATCAAAGCCATCAATGAAATGGTTAAGTTTGATAGCACAATTGATATTTATTGTCTCAGTGTTGAGCTAATTGAGCTGATCAAGCTGTCCCAACTAGCAGATCAAAGCTAGCTTGGTATCTAGTAGCTCAAAGCTGAGTAGGTATCCAGCAGATCAAAGCTGGCTGGGTATCTAGTAGATCAAAGCTGGCTGGGTATCTAGTAGCTCAAAGCTGACTAGGTATCCAGCAGATCAAAGCTGACTGGGTATCCAGCAGATCAAAGCTGGCTTGGTATCCAGCAGATCAAAGCTGACTAGGTATCCAGCAGATCAAAGCTGACTAGGTATCCAGCAGATCAAAGCTGACTAGGTATCCAGCAGATCAAAGCTGACTAGGTATCCAGCAGATCAAAGCTGACTAGGTATCCAGCAGATCAAAGCTGGCTTAGTATCCAGCAGATCAAAGCTAACTGGCCATCTAACAGCTCAAGACTGACTCAATTCACTCACCAATGCCGAGCAAAATTTCAAATACCAAAGCATAACGAAGACAGTTGCGTAGATCAGCTGAAAACAATAATCTCAATATAGAAAAGTATAGTTGGCAGTAAAGGTAGCTCTAGAGCAAAAAGTGAAGCCTGATAGGTATAGCTTTCACTACTAAATCGATTAAACACTGCTAATTGATTCAGTTAGACTAAAAAGAAACTAGCTTTAGTGAAAAGAACTTTAAATTTGGAGTTCAACTTTGAATTGACAAAGCCAATCCCATAAACGTGCCATGATAAACGAGAGAAAGAATGCGAGCAGCGCTGAATCGGAATCCTCATAGGTGATCACTGTCCACATGGCGTAGGAACGCTCAATGGCCAACATGATCATAAACTGTGTGCTCATCACGATAGCTGAATGGAAAAGCGGTGAGAGTTGATCAAAAGAATTACTTTTTGCCTAGATTTGCAAAGCAAGCTCGGGTTTAAACCTGAGGCCTTTTATACGCGCCTCGCCCCGCCTCTTTTGCCAAGCCAACTTTGAGCTGAACTTTCTTGGCGCTGAGTTGTTCTATTGAAATGTTTTTAATATCATTAGATTCCCCAAGTCTTTCTCTATCGATTGATATAAAAAGTATTTAAATTGAACGGACCAATCCCAAGAAATTTGAGCTTAAAGTTAGATGGGAAAAGGGGCGGGGCCTTGGGTATAAAAGCTCCAAAAATCAGGTTTAAACGCAAGTTTTGTTTGCTTAACAAACCTAGGCAAAGATCCAAGCAATTCTCACCGAAAAGGGGCGGGGCCTAGCGTATAAAAGGTCCGAAAATAGCCCCGCCCCTTTTGCCATTAGCAATCTAACTTTAAGCTCAAATTTCTCAGTGTTGAGTTGTTCAATCTCAATTTCCTTAACACCATTAGATTCTCCAACTCTTTCTTTATCGATTAGTATAAAAATTATTGAAATTGGATGAGCCAATCCCAAGAAATTTGAGCTTAAAGTTGGATGGGAAAAGGGGCGGGGCCTTGCGTATAAAAGGTCCCACAATCAGGTTTAAACGCGAATTTTGTTTGCTTAATAAATCTATGCAAAGATCCTAAGTAATTCTCATCGAAATGGGGCGGGGCTTTGCGTCTAAAAGGTCCGACAATCACCCCGCCCCTTTTGCCATTAGCAATCTAACTTTAAGCTCAAATTTCTTGGGATTGGTCCATCCAATTTGAACCGTTTTTATACCAATCGATAGAGAAAGACTTGGGGAATCTAATGATATGAAAAATATTCAAATTGAACAGCTCAACACCGAGAAATTTGAGTTCAAAGTTGGGCTGCTAATGGGAAAAGGGGCGGGGCTTTTATGAAATGTGTAACCGTTGAATCTTGTCCAAACTTTTTGTTTTCTTTTTGTGAATAGCTCGAAATTGACATTCAGTTAAGATTAGCTGGATTACGGTATTCGGTCTAGATTAGCTGGACTACGGTATTTACTCGAAATTGACAAACCGATATCGGAGACGATGTTGAAGACGAGATTCCACGAGTCAAACTCGACATTTAACCCGAAAAGCGAGTGCTGTACCACCTAGAAATGGCTATGGATTATAAAAAGAAATTTATTTAAAGTCTTTAAAGTTTTTAAAGCTTTTAAAGCCTTTTTTGATTTTTTTGATAAGAAAATTAGATCTAAATATACCCTGATGAACAATGGGACGAGCTGCGCGGTCGGCTGCACGATGAGCAACACGCGGAGATTCGGATGGCAGAACTGAATGCGAGTAAACGATTGGTAACTGATTCTACCGAAAAAGCATTAAATCAAAAAGGGATAATTGAATTTTTCGCTTAAATAATGCCTATCTGGAAGTCATGTAATCTTTTCCAAATGTTTCCCTTTTGAAAGTCTCAAAAAAATTTCGGTTCAATTACACACTTCTCGAAAAATTTAGAAAAGCCAAATTTCCCCCCAATCGCCGATTTTTTGAGCTCAAAATCTCTTGTGACATCCAGAAGGCTTATTTCAATATTTTCTGAGTCAGAATTGAATGCGGGTAAGAAGGTAAACGATGGGTAACTGGTTCTACTGAAAAAGCATGAAATCAAAAAAGAATAACTGCATTTTTCGTTTAAATAATGCCTATCTGGAAGTCATGTAATCTTTTCCGATAGTTTCCCTTTTGAAAAAGTTTAAAAAAAAATTTCGGTTCATTTACGCGCTTCTCCGAAAATTCAGAAAATCCAAATTTTCCCCCCAATCGCGGTTTTTTTAAGCTCAGAATCTCTTGTGACATCCAGAATGCTTATTTGAATCTTTTCTGAGTCAGAACTGAATGCGGGTAAGAAGGTAAACGATGGGTAACTGGTTCTACTGAAAAAGCATGAAATCAAAAAAGAATAACTGCATTTTTCGTTTAAATAATGCCTATCTGGAAGTCATGTAATCTTTTCCGATAGTTTCCCTTTTGAAAAAGTTTAAAAAAAAATTTCGGTTCATTTACGCGCTTCTCCGAAAATTCAGAAAATCCAAATTTTCCCCCAATCGCGGTTTTTTTTAAGCTCAGAATCTCTTGTGACATCCAGAATGCTTATTTCAATCTTTTCAGGGTCAATTCTCTTAGAAATTCGAAATTTAGCACTACCAACTCGGATCGATTACCCAACTTTGTGCAAATTCGCAAAATTCCCCTTAAATAGTATGCGCAAAATCACTTTTGGGGAAGAATTAGCATAAATCTCACCTGTTTTGCGAACAGTACTTTCAAATAGATATAAAAAACGATTGAGAGACCGAAAATGAGGAGCGATTCGAGGAGCTGAATGAAAAATTTTTGAATAAAATTTGTCAAAATTCGATTTTTTTCATATAAAATCTCGGGAAATCATTGAATCTTCGAAATTTTTCGTTTTTTTTTCCAAACCTTGAGCACACTGACGACCGCCTCGAAGGCATATGTGGCGTTTCTCGGTTGCGGGAAGAGCATTACGAGTTGACGAGCATATTCTAAGCTACAGAAGGATTGAAACAATAGTTTCCATGAATTCAATCTAATTGGAAGTCAGGATATATAGATACGTTATTCAAAACCTGAAATCAAATGCGCTAGATTTAAGGTTAATTAACACATGAACCCATACAAATAACACGAAAAAAGGCCGATAAAAGGCAACACGATATAATGTATGCAATGGGTGGCAGAGATAATGTTTTACTAGAAGCGACAGATAATGTTTTACTAGAAGTCACTAGAAGCCATTAGAAGTCATTAGAATCCACTAGAGGTCACTAGAGGTCACTAGAAGCCACTAGAAGAAACTATAGGCCACTAGAAGCAACTAGAGGCCACTAGAATCCAGTAGAGTCCACTAGAATCCACTAGAATCCACTAGAACCCACTAGAAGAAACTATAGGCCACAAGAAACAACTAGAGGCCACTAGAATCCAGTAGAATCCAGTAGAATCCACTAGAATCCACTAGAACCCACTAGAGGCCCCCAAGAGAGGCGAGAGAAACCAGAGGGGGCGGGGGGGGGGGGAAAAAAACCGAGAGGAGGAAAAAAAGGCAAAGAAACAACTAGAGGCCACTAGAATCCAGTAGAATCCAGTAGAATCCACTAGAATCCACTAGAACCCACTAGAATCCACTAGAATCCACTAGAGGCCACTAGAAGCCACTAGAATCCACTAGAGGCCACTAGAGGCCACTAGAAGCCACTAGAAGAAACTATAGGCCACTAGAAGCAACTAGAGGCCACTAGAATCCAGTAGAATCCACTAGAATCCACTAGAATCCACTAGAATCCACTAGAGGCCACTAGAATCCACTAGAATCCAGTAGAATCCACTAGAGGCAACTAGAGACCACTCGAATCCAGTAGAATCCACTAGAAGCTTCATGAATCAAGATAATTTAAAGATTCCGACACTATTCGACTCTCTCAAAACTCTGGGAAGTCGAAATTCAGAATTCTGGTAGTTTCTTTTTTGGAATAGAGTTATACACCGCTTATTGGTGGTAACTGGAATCTCTAAAACGAAAGAATTTCTCCTTGAGCAAACCGTGTGATTAACTTTGAATAAATCTCGAAAAAAAGGAATAGCTTGGCTGCCTTTTTAGAATTTTGAAACATTCTATTAAATTCGTGACGGAATTTTAGAATTTTGAAACATTCTATTAAACGGTTAACATTCTATTAAATTCTATTAAGCGGCGGTGTCTGACATCCGATCTGGATGTCACTGAAGCTTTTTGGAATAAGATTTTCAAAATTTGGAATGATTTAAAAATTCGACTTTATTTTCAAAATTAAATTTTCGTTAATTCAAATTTATTGGAAATCGTGGTTTTTTTAGTTTCAATCTTTAGAATGACATCCAGGATTTGGGAATGAAAAGTTAAGATCGTGGAAAAGAGTTGGAGAAAATCAATTTTTCTTCGCTAGAGTTGTTTCCTCGTTTGTGACTTTTTTCTCTCGGGTTTTTGGCTACAAATTCTCTTGACGGAATCGAATAAAATAATAAATTGGATACAAGAAAATGAGGAAAAAAAAGAGAAAGAAAGGTGATTTATTGGAAAGAAAATAACGAAAAAAAAACAATTTATTTCATTAGTTTTTTGTGAAAAATATTCAAATAAGTCAAATTTCAAAAAAATTTTTGTTTTTTTAATACTTAAGCATTTTCATTTATTTATTTTATCAGTTTTTAATTTAGATTTAAATTTGCCGTGAATAATAGTATGTAAAGAATAGTACGTAAATAATAGTACGTAATAATAGTACATAAATACTGTAAAAGTACCCAACCCGCATAATGACGGTGCGGAGTGTTGCGTAGTCTAGCTTTGAACGAGTTTTTCGAGTTTTTCTCGACATTGGTTTATGCTACAGTGCGCGCTTAGGTATCAAAAAAATTGGCCTGAATTTCAGCTTCGAACAGCTAGAATTGGATTGGGGAACGTCGGTAAATGAGGAGAAAAATTGGTGAAAACAAACGACAGACTACAAGCTGCAGACTACAAACGACAGACTGCAGACTACAAGTTGCAGACTACAAGCTACAGACTACAAGCTACAGACTACAAGCTACAGACTACAAGCTACAGACTACAAGCTACAGACTACAAGCTACAGACTACAAGCTACAGACTACAAGCTACAGACTACAAGCTACATACTACAAACGACAGACTGCAGACTACAAGTTGCAGACTACAAGCTACAGCCTACAAGCTACAGACTACAAACGACAGACAACAAGTTACAGACTACAAACTAGAGTTATGGCTATACCTTTATCATCAGATTTATCATCAAATTCCATGCCAAACGTCGTAAACAATTCAAAACCAAAAACAAGTATCCCTACCGTCAATACTGTAATAGTACCCCACCCCTATAATGACGGTGCGGAGTGTTTCGTAGTCTAGCTTTGAACGAGCTTTTTCTCGACACTGCTTTATGCTACAATGCGCGCTTAGGTATCAAAAAAATAGCTGAAATTCAGGGCTATTTTTTCATACCAAACACATATTTCTAGACACATACCAAACACAGTCGCGTAGTCGCAAAAGTTTTTTGTAGTATTTCATTTGTTTTCAAAGCGCTCGTACTTTCAAAAAATTGGATCAAAAGTTTGGAATCAAAAAATAGCCCTGAATTTCAGCTATTTTTTGATTCCAAACTTTTGATACCATTTTTTTGAAAGTACGAGCGCTTTGAAAACAAATGAAATACTACAAAAAACTTTTGCGATTACGCGACTGTACGAGGGCGGGTGGGGGACTCGTTACAGTATTTACGGTAGGTTTATGCAAAAGAAATTTTGTTTCAATTTTTACAAATATTAAATTGAATCAAAATCAAAATCAAGATCAAAATTCAAAAAAATAAGCACTATTATTTTTAAAAATACCGACTGGGGCTACCAGTGGTGAATTTATCGCATACACGAAATATATCAATCACAATACAATGACACACACAATACTAGGCTATCTCTTAACTTAACCCACGTCATGACAGACGGCTCCCTAACCCTAAGCTCAATGGGGAACTAAATAGCTTTTTTGGTGGTGAAGGGAAGATGACGATGAAGGATTATGATCTATAAAATCTCTTTTATGATCGATAATTGCTTTTTGAAATCAGTAAAACGCACAGAAATTGATGGAATTCAGTACTCGGACAGGTGATGAGAGACAGGTGATTTCCCATTTTTTTTCCTTTTTTCCTTTCTCAGCTATAGTTTTGTTAAAATTGGCGATTACGATTTAATAGGCTTTTACGAAAAATCAGAAAAAAGCTAACAAGGGAACCTTTCTAAGTTATCGGCGAGTTACAATAGGAGTTAGGTGCCAAAAGAAAGGCCTGAAAATGTACGACGTTCAGAAGCTGTTTTCAGAAAACGCTAATCGGCAAATTGTTTGGCAACGATTTTCAAATCAAAGCTCAATCTGGATGTCACAGCGCTGATCGAACTTAAAATTACTCGAGTATTCTCAATTTTAAGCAAATTCACCGAATCCGGGTAGAATTCTGGCGGAGTGGAGCCGCTGAAATGGCTAGCTTGGCAACAATTTTCAATTCAGAGCTCCATCTGGATGTCACAGCACTCATTTAACTTCAAATTACTCGAGTATTCTCAATTTTAAGTAAATTCACCGAATTCTGGTAGAGTTCTGGCGGGGTGGAAGTTATAGCAATTTGAAATTCGAAAAAATGAAGGGTTTTCTCGGATTTCTGGCACAATGATTTTTGGCTTTTTTTTTGGTTTTTTTGGCTTTCCTTTCGCCATCGCAAAAGCCAGCTAGTGGCCTAGTGGCCTAGTGGCCTAGTGGCCTAGTGGCCTAGTGGCCTAGTGGCCTAGTGGCCTAGTGGCCTAGTGGCCTAGTGGCCTAGTGGCCAGTGGCCTAGTGGCCTAGTGGCCTGGTGGCCTAGTGGCCAGTGGCCTAGTGGCCTAGTGGCCTAGTGGCCTAGTGGCCTAGTGGCCTAGTGGCCTAGTGGCCTAGTGGCCTAGTGGCCTAGTGGCCTAGTGGCCTAGTGGCCTAGTGGCCTAGTGGCCTAGTGGCCTAGTGGCCTAGTGGCCTAGTGGCCTAGATCTAAATATACCCTGATGAAGAATGGGACGAGCTTCGTGGTCGGCTGCGCGATGAGCAACACGCGGAGATTCGGATGGCAGAACTGAATGCGGGTAAACGATTGGTAACTGATTCTACCGAAAAAGCATTAAATTAAAAAGAGATAATTGAATTTTTCGCTTAAATAATGACTATCTGGAAGTCATGTAATCTTTTCCAAATGTTTCCCTTTTGAAAAAGCTTCAAAAAAATTTCGGTTCAATTACGCACTTCTCCGAAAATTCGAAAAAATCCAAATTTACCATATCTCCGATTTCTTGAGCTTAAAACCTCCTGTGCCATCCAGAATGCTTATTTGAATCTTTTCAGAGTCAGAACTGAATGCGGGTAAGAAGGTAAACGATGGGTAACTGATTCTACTGAAAAAGCAAAAAAGCCTAGTGCCTAGTGCTGCTAGTCCCTAGTGCTGTTAGTGGCCTAGTGCCTAGTGCCTAGTGCCTAGTGCTGCTAGTGCCTAGTGCCTAGTGCCTAGTGTCTAGTGCCTAGTGTCTAGTGTCTAGTGTCTAGCGCCTAGTGTCTAGTGGCCTAGTGCCTAGTGCTGCTAGTGCCTAGTGCCCAGTGCCTAGTGCCTAGTGCCTGCTCTCGTCTCTTTTTGATCTTGCTTCCGGTCCATCAGCAGTCAAACTTTCTGCTTTTTTTGAAAATCATTAAAAATTTTTCAATTTTAGTTTCGTTTTTCAATTTTAGAACTGACTTGAATTGAATTCAATTTTCAATTCAATTTTAGAACTGACTCAAGGCTATTTCTTGCTTGTTTTTCGTTGCCACATCGCTAAATTGCATTCCAAAATGAAAGTTTTTTTTTTTGTTTAAAAGAAATGAGAATCGTTGAGAAAAAAAATTT